CAGCCAAGGGCTGCACAGACAATTACTGCACACAATCCAGAACAGAGACAAGTACATACAGGCAGCAAAGTAGTTGCTCGCACAGTGCACGACTCCTGCACTTCCTTCAGACTCAGGGCCTCCGGGCCTTCAATGCTGGAGCTTTGAAACCAACCTTCACTGCACAGCACAAGCTCACAAGACCCAGGAAGAGCTCGCTCTCTTCTTTCTGTGAAAAATTGGGGCAAAAAGAGGGCTGGAGGGGAAGAAAAGAGGGGGCACCTGGAGTTGAACCAGGGACCTCTTGATCTGCAGTCAAATGCTCTACCACTGAGCTATACCCCCTCTGTGCACACCTGTCACAGGGACATTTGAAGAACGTTTCTGGAAGACGACAAGTTTTTCTGTCCACTGGTCAGATTCCATTATTGACAGCCCTCTCTGCAGCTTCATCTGCCAGCCACGGGCTGCACAGACAATTACTGCACACAATCCAGAACAGAGATGAATACGCACAGGCAGCAACTAGTTACTCGCACAGTGCACATCCTCTGCAGTTCCCTCAGTAGCTTTGATGCTGAGGCTCCAAAACCAACTTCCGACCCAGGAAGAACTCTCCATCTTCCTTCTGCAAGACCCTTTGGCAAAAGGAAGGCTGAAGGGGAAGAAAAAGAGGGGGCACCTGGAGTTGAACCAGGGACCTCTTGATCTGCAGTCAAATGCTCTACCACTGAGCTATACCCCCTTCATGCACACCTCTCACGTCACAAACAAAAATCATCTACCAGGACATTCTACCCCAATCTCTGACCTCTCTGTTCCACAGCAAGCAAATTCTGTGGCAGAAATTGCAAGAATGAAACGCGACAGCAGCCCAGACATTGTGTCCCTGCACTCCAACACAGGCACTGTCCCCTTTCTTCACTTACCGGGTGACCTTGGCCCGCTTCCTCTCTGTCCCTCTCCGCTTCCTCTCCCAGTTGCAGTCTGGTGAGCAGACTGTAACTTGACACAGCAGCCGCCTCAGAGACTCTGACATCTTCCCTGCGCTTTCTGGCTCTGACTGTAACTGTGAAAATAATTAACAGGAGAGGAAGCTGAGCTGATCTTGCCAGTCAGCCCTCCTGCAAGACACCCGCCATAATCCCAAGAAAAAGTAGAGTTGTGAGGGGGCACCCAGAGTTGAACTGGGGACCTCTTGATCTGCAGTCAAATGCTCTACCACTGAGCTATACCCCCTCTCCCATGCACCTGCCCAGCACAAATCTCACTCCTCTTTACCAATAACCACAGCAAACGGCCACAACTTTGTCCCAGGACAAAAAGCAGCTCCTCGGGAAGTAGTCCTCTCTTTCTTTGCAACATCCCCCTGGTACTCCTCTTCTCTTGTGGGAATCGGCTTCTTCACCTCTCCCCAGCACCTGATCAAACAGAGGATGGAGCCTGCTGGCTGTTTACAGGAAAAGCATTGAAATAAAGAGCTCCAAAGCCACCTTTTTCTGGACCAAAAGAAGGAAAAGGGAGGGGGCACCCGGATTTGAACCGGGGACCTCTTGATCTGCAGTCAAATGCTCTACCCCTGAGCTATACCCCCACCTGGGCACCACTGCCCGGCACGGCTCCTGCTGCCCACTGACCCGCCGGCTCTGCCACATTCCTCTGCCCGTGCTCACCGCACCTGCAGCGCTGCCTCTCACACACCACAGACCTCTCATTACCCCTCCTTTTACCCTGAACCCACCACGGCTCTCACCACGCCTACAACCTGCCTCCTGCCGCCAAGCCAATGATTTCCCACTTGTCTTTCTCTAAAACATCCAACCGTGGACAAAACACTGACTTCAAAACACGGCTGAAGGCACTCGGCTGCACCTCTCTTTGCTCTCAGGGTGTGCCCTGCCATTACAGACCACACCGGCCTCACAGACAAATCACCTACACAACACCCCCCACCCTGCCCACGGCCTCTCTGCCTTCACTGACTGCCTGCCCAAAGGCAGGGCATACCCACAAAGAAGCACCCAAAGCGTTTCGTCCAACTATCGTGCCTTGCCCTGCCTCAGGATAAAGCCTCCTTAAACTAAAAGTCCAGCACAGGCTGTTAAAGTAGATCAAAGGGGAACACCTTTATTTTAGTGGTGGTTCCTTACTCATAAGCAGGTCTCTGCCTCTCTCTACAGGCCTGAGGAACAGCTCCGTCAGCACCAGCGCGCTGCAACGATGGCCACCGCTCACAAAGAAAGAGATCAACTTCAGGCGCAGGGTTGGAGTGCTGCGGTGAGAGCCGCAGGGCCCGTTGTACCCTCCCGGGGGATCCAGCTCTGCTGCGAGGAAGCCACGACCGCTCCGTGGAACAGCCTGTGGAGAAGAGAGTTCCCCTCAGTCCATGTAAGTCCTTTTCCAAGTTTCCCTTCCCCAGCTGCTGCCAGTGCACAGCTCCCCATATTCCAGTGGGAATGTCTGAGAAACCATTTTTAGGCCATAATATTTTGTGGATTCATGCTGGTTAGGCCAACAGCTGTTTAAATACACCACCACTTTACAAACATCTGCCTTTCCTGTTGCTCTTGTCCATCGTTGCCTGTGTTTGCACTACAGTATCTCTGAGGCTTTGCTTCCCTCACCACCCTCCTTCCTCCACTGTAAGCTCTCTGCACTGAAAGCATCAGGAGCAGCACAAGTATCAGAAATCTCTAAGCAGAGGGAAAAATGAAGTGTGGTGTGGGAAGAGGCAAGTGCCTGGGCAGATGGAGGCAAGCGCAGCTGCAGCCGGGGCTGCCTGAGGTGGGAGGTACAGCCAGTCCTGGGAGCAGCACCCCATTTCCCACCCCGCAGCCCCCCAGCAGCACATGCTGGGGTCAATCCGGGTGTTAGAGTGCTCCAGGACCATGATATCCAGGAGAAAACTACCTTTATTGTCACGTGCGAGCCCAGGCACAGGGCAGCCTCCCAACCCTTTCAGTAGCCCTTGGCTCAGCAGGGCCAGGAAATGAGCTGACCCACAGATCACATCCAAATGCATCCCTGGCTCTGCTCCAGCCAGAGGGGAACACCAGAAAAAGCAGGAGCAGCTCCACATACTACCAGGAGCTTCTGCACAGACCTACCTTCCAACTCTCATCTTGAAGCCTTGCAGCTGACCTCGACAGTTCAGATCACCCCTTCTGATTGCAATTAACAATCGATGAGCTCACAGCCTGTCTCACCACTGAGGGAGGGTTTAGCAGCATGTGTGTCAGCCGCCACCTCGGCCAGCAGCAGTGGGCTTGATGTGTCCTTGCTCCGCTTCAGCAAGGTCTGAGGGACATTCCCCAGAGCCCCCTGTCCACAGTGAAATCTGCAGCTCGTGGCACAGAGCAGTTTCAGGCAGTATTCCCCCCCCCCCTTAATCACACCAGTATCTCTAAGCAGTCAAATTCCCAATCTGGAAGAAAATTCCAGTTCTAAAATTTCAAGACCCCCTGTACAAAGGATTCTTGTAGAAGGGCTTTCACAGACACCTCCCAGTTTCTACCCGTGCACACATAAATTGGATCAATTCAGTCACTCCTGCTAAAATGTAAGTCATTCCAGTGCAACCCCCTTCCAGATATTTTCCCATAATACAGGAACCTGCCTGAAAAAGAGCCTTATCACTGGATGTTAGAACTCCAAAATCCCATTTTCCTGCTG